CTTGCAGGAATATGGCATCGCACGCATACTGGAGTACCAGCAGTTGAAGTCCGCCTATTTGGGAAAATGAATTACCGGGACTTGAGGATTAACTTTAAGGCAAAACTATCAGCGCACTTAATTGAATCATTAAGAGTACTTAAGTGGCCTTAATATTAAAACACCAACAATAACTAAAGAAATTACTGAAACGAAAAACAAACAAACAACAACTAAGTAAAATGTTTAGTCAGGAGTTACTATATAGCTCTAGCTTAGTTAATGCAAGCATACACTACTATACACTATTGGCATATGAGCTAAATGACTAGAAATGAGTAGATCTTATACTGACTACGGATATACCGATATATGTATATACAATATATGTATGTATCTATGTATGCATGCATATTTATATATACGTATCTACATGATTTGTGCTGTGCATGGCATGTTTATATATTTTGTATATTATTAAACTTTTAATCATTTAACGCTGAGAAGAAAAGTCAAAATGTAACAATTGCAGCTGTGATTATTGTGTGAGTTAGGCAGGCAACAATAATTAGTTCGCTTATTTAGGGATTTTGAGTACGGTTTTGATTGAAGTATTAAGGCAGCACCCACTAACGAACACTACTAGCTAATTTGCATACACTCTACTTACTCAGCTCGATTCACATACACACACACACACACACACACACACACACACACCTCCCACTGACGTTCCACAGAGCTCCCACACTCTTGGCAATTTGTTCGAATTTATTTCACGTTCGAATTTCTGTCCACCAACAGTTTCATCGAAATTCACTTTTTGGTTTCCTTTGAAGTATTATTTTTGTTTTCCACTGCATATAACACCTAAATTGATTGTATTCTTTCATCTGTAGCGCAGAAATAATTAACAAATGAGCAAACAATAAATTGGCCTTTTGATTGTAGCGGTCGATAAGTATCGATAATAAGTACTATATATATTCCGTAAATGAATTTAGTTAAATAATATCTATGTGTAATTAATATTTTTAATATTTAATGTATTTGCGTCTATTTTTTAATGCAATCAATAAATCAAATATTTAGTTCAAATTACAAATACATTGATTACTGATTTTATTTATATAATACGTATATATAAATATCTAAAAAATGGATTGTAAAATTTCTGTTAAAATTTGCATCTACAGAGGCGAAGTTTGTACAATTAAACGATAAAATATTGAACTTTCAATCTGCCATCTATTTAAAATTATAATTTATGATTAATTAAAATTGGAAATGAGTTGACCAAACCAGAATTATTGGTCTCCAATAGGGCTCTTGTTGATCAAATAAAAGATTCAAGAACTGGAATAGTATTAACATTAAGGAATAAGGATTCGGAAAGGAAATTAATAATCTCTGTAGTTGCATAGGTAAAGAGGCAGGTTTATACGAAACATAAGTTGCTCGATCGTGTCGATGGAATTTAAGTCTGGTCGATTCTGGTTGGTCGAACTTTGAAACATTGGACGGAGAGTTCTCTCTTGGAGTTGACAATATGCAAATTTGAGCAGATACCGTCTGTAGGGTGTTCCTTTAATTTTGTGAAACACAAATAAACGGAAGTAAGAACGCTCTTTCTGTTGAATGTATTCGCTAAGCAGATACCCTGAAGTACCGACCGATCTAAACTATCTACATTATGGAGTTATCGCTTACTTAAGACTCCACATGTTATACTGGGATAAGTAACTTAACTTAAAAGGAAAGGCACAAAAATATTGACACGGCACATTATCTTGATCGGGAATATATACTTCATGGAGTTTTCCACGTCTCCTTCTGCCAATTACAACGATTATACCTCGCTCTAATCTATGTTTAGGCCAGAGTATCAACTGTCAGGCTTTGATGTTAATTTCCTTTGCCAAGGATTTCGACCGATTGTGGTCAATCCTTTCACAGTAACTCACAACAATACAATAAGGTGAGGTCAGGGGAATATGCGAGAGCACGAATGCCGGAATGCTGGCAGCCAAAGCAATGCAGCGCATCTTTAATTAATGCAACAAACACCGAGCAACAGCAGGACTATTTAAATGACATGGACGGACGGACGAACAGGTGGATAGCTGGAAGGACGGACAGCTGCATAGATGGACAGCGTGTGCGTCCCTTGTTGCACAATGATTATCTGCATGTCCTTGCGTCATGTTGTGTCTATGTGTCTCTGTGTGTCTCTGTGTGTGTGTCTTTAGTACTCTGACCCTATGTCCGCATTGTCTTGCCTTGCGGTTTCGTACTGCACTTGAAATCAGTTTGTCGGGGGTGGGGGGCAAGGGATTGGTGCCTGCTCTGGGGGGCGGCCTTTATGCTCGTCTAATGTACTGTACGCCTCGGCGGGCAAAAGCACTCCAAAGCAATTGTCTGCGGCTGGTGGTGCTGCTGCTGTTTCTGCTGCAGGACGAGTGTTCTGCTAGGGACAACTATTGTTTAAATAAGTACAGCCCCCATCCTCAGTCCGCCCACCTCGACTGTTGACAGACGGACGAATGCGAAATAGAAAATGGTTTTCGGATTGCGGACTGCGACAAGGCTTCAATATTTCGTCTACAGCCGCTACGTGCTGCACTTTGATTTTGATGTTGTTGATGATGATGATGATGATGTTGATGATGATGAATTGTTATGCAGTCTTGCAACCTGCTCACAAACCATGCCCATGTCCATGTCCAACTGCATGCTCGCCTGCATTTTGACCAAAAACTTAATTGGCATTGAGCTCAGACACGAAATCAAATTAATTAGCAAGCCAAAGTAGCAGCAGCAGGAGTAGCAGGAGTAGTAGAAGTAGCAGGATTAGCTGATTGGACTGTATTTGTGTCTGTCATAAGTGAATTAGATAAAACGTGATAAGAGCCACAGCTACAGTTCTCAAAATAACCAACAAATACACAAGTATTTCCCTAAGTGTGTGTCAATCAATTGGCAAATAAAATAGTTTTAAAGCTGCCCTAATATGATTCATTATACTGAAAGTTTTCGATTGATGATATTAAAAAGAGAATTCTTATGAATTATTTTAAACTAATTTATTGGCTTGGAAAACAAATTTTCAGGTCTCTAGCTCCCAAAGGCTCTGAGATCGACGTGTGCAAATGAATCAACGGAAGAATGGGCAGTCGGAAGAATAAAGAGTTTGTCTCTGTTGAAAAATAAGAGACAGACTGAAGGACGGATAGACTAAAGGGCGGTCGGAAGAACGGACAGAACATACGTAAGGTCACTCGGATGGACATATAGATGTACGGACTGATGAATAGAAGGATTAAAAAAACATTTAATTTTTTGTGATTAAACTAATATTGTCATTAATTCCATTTGGTTTTTAGTACCTTTATAAACCTTAAGTGTATAAATTTTTGTTATTATTGTATTGTATGCATATCATCCATCCATTTCAAATAATTTCACACATTTGTATGATAATGTATGAAATATCTTGAAAGTCTGAGCTCTTGAGTGTCCCTTATTTTCAACTAAGGTTTCATTTAAGAGTGAGACTGAATTTTGGGTGAATTTGCGATAAAAACGCGTTGATAAAAGCTTTCGAAACTAATTTACTATTTATTAAGCATCTAATTTCAGTTAATGAAACTCAATCGAAACGCAATTAAACACTTAATTATTTGTGAAGCATTTCTCTCGATTTGTTCAATATTGATTTTAGTTTCAATTTTAGAGTGTTACCATGTGCTCACATCCTTCCATTCTCTCATCTATGCTTCCATCCTTCCTTTCTTCCGTCCGGTCGCTCTTTCTGGGGATTGTTTTATTGCTGCTTCTTTTCTTCGCTTGTTTGTTTCTGCGGTCAGTTTTGTGTTAACTTTGCTGCCCGCTCTGTATATAAACTGCTTCTAAATTACTTTGACCAAGTTTTTTACTTTTTTGTTATTGTTGTTGTTGTTTTTTTTTATAGCTATCATCTGAGCTGGTTGAGCAAACGCAGCTCTTCCTCTAGCAAGATTTGCACATCCACTAGCTGAGGACGACGCAGAAGCTAAAACAAAAAGAGGAAAGTGCAAGGAAAATGAAAAACTTTGCCCGGCATTGTGCCTGTCTACGCCTGCAACATGCAACTGTCTGCGTCTATGTCAAGTTTGCGACTGCCTGGACGCCCACCCAATGCAAACTCACTTCGATATGCCGCCTCGCCGCCTCCCTCCCCCAGCCCGCGGGTCGTCCAGTGTCCAATTGCAGCTAAAGTTGATTTATTGTTTGCATTCTTACAACTTTTGTGTCAGTTTCTGTTTGGTTTTTCATTTCGTTTGACTTTGGCATATCTCTCGTTCGCCCCTTACGCATCGTCCCGCCGTCTGCATTTTTCTTGTTGTTGTATTATTGCTGCACATATTGAAATTGTCAACCAGGGGCCATTGGTCGAAGGTCCTTGACTGCAGCTCGAGGCAAGAAAAAAGAATGACAAAGTTCTATGACTTTCAAAATGGTTAAATGATTTATTTGTAAACTTTCTTGATGTACTTAGAGCGTTTGTTGAGGGCACAGATTGCTGGTAAATGATATATATATATATATGAACATATAAATAGATAGTTCATATTTTTGTAAATTCTTTGAGTGTGATATAAAATAAAGGAGTGCACTAATTAACTAATTGATTAAATTTATAATTGTTTTTAGTTTAATAAATTTATACTTATAAAACAATGATCAATTTTTTAAATGTTGTTTAACAGCTAATGGAATGTATATTACATTTATTTAGTAAAATTATAAATTTTAAAATTATATAAAAGTTAATAATTTGAAGATAAATCTAAAATTATTATTGTAAACAAATAAATAATTGTTGTTTATGTATTATGTTTTTACTTTTTAATATGACTGATAAAATATTTATATAATATAAACTCAATTTGTTTGTTAAGTAAATTTTAAATTTAAGATTAAATTTCAAAGTATTTTTTATCATTTTTCTACAAAATACTTTATAATTATAAAATATGTAATTTTGTTAATGTATAAATATATATAGTAATATATACAATAGTACTACATATTATTTAAAAATTTTGATTTGCTTAGGTCCAACTGCGCCGTTTAATTATTATTAAATTATTATTAAAAACTCGTAAAATTTACATAACCTATAAAATATTCAGATACATATATATATGATTTTCCGCATTCATAAATAGATAAATATTACTCAGATTTTCTTTACATAATGTGTTAGCCTTGAAAGTCCTCTATTGCCATCTACTAGACAATAACTTTACTTAGCTCAAATTCAAATTTATCTGCACATAAAAAACTCAATCAACATAATTTCTAGTTACGATATGATAATTTGATATATGAGCAAAGTAAGAGAAGCTATTTTTCGCTCTCTCTTGTACTCTCTGTCTCAGTCTTCGCTCATATGCTAAATGAGAACTGTATAAATTTTTGTCAGTCCATTTACGCATAGGAAAGATATCCAGTCGAAATTACACATTTCAGTTGCCCTCTTGACTTTTTGCCACAGCTAATTTTAGAGTCGACAAGTCACAATGCGTCGACCCA